ATTGTATGAATACAAAATTCAGCACAAATCTGTAAACAGATTTCAGATGAGTAAAACGTTTCTTACAACACTTTTCGTGTCTTTATTTTGATGGTCAAAACAGCATCAGTGTTTGGATGTCAAATAGACGTCAAGGTTTTCACATGTAATTGATGTTTTTTGACACCAAAGTATTACAAAATTCAGTGTAAATTTTAAATATAATCTTTTAGATGAATAACAATTTGCTTATAACACTTTTTATGTCTTTATTTTGATGATCAAAACAACATCAATGTGTGGATGTTAAATAGACGTCAAGGTTTAGACATCAAATCAATTGCCATTTTTTTTACGCCAAAGTAGTTTCCGTGTAGGAATGCGAAATTCTGTGTAAATTTGTAAACGAAGCTTTCAGATGAGTACAGCTTTTCTTCTAACACTTTCTAACTGTCTTTATTTTGATGGTCAAAACAGCATCAATGTGTGGATGTCAAATAGACGTCAAGGTTTGGTCATGACATCGATTAGCATTTTTGACGTGGTTTTTGATGTCGTCAAAGCTGTAGCGCAGATGCATAAACACAGAGATCATCAGAAATGGAGAATCAAGACAGAAAGTAAAGACTCAGGAAGTCAGCGAGGGAAGTTTAGTGGTTTCTTGCGTCACACACACTTTACACTGAAGCTCGTGCCGGTGCAGAGAGAAAGGTAAGAACTGAAGGCGTTTCTTTTTAATTGAGCTCTTATTTGTGTAATTATTCCTTGATTGTTGCCTGTAGAGACGCTGGATTGTACTACAGTTGTATAGTGACGTTCAAAGTTGGGAATAGTTCTCTATTATTTGATGCTGAGAGCGAAAAACACTCAAGGCCTTCAGATGCGATCAGTCATTTCCGCAAGAGGAACAAAGTTGGTGTAAAGTTACAAATTAGCATAATGCAAAAACACAGAAAGAAGCTGAAGATGCTGATGGTGTGTGAGGATCAGGGCTGAGTTTTAGTGTGTTTTTGTGTGTGTTTTGCTATTGAGTGTGTATTTGAGCGTTGAGGGTGTGGTTTTTTTATGGGTGTAAAGCTGAAATCGATGTCTGAGGAGGAAGCGGGTGGCGAGATTGGCACACGACCCACCCTGCCCTCATTTCTGGACGTCTATATTGATTATTATTGATTATTATTATACACTCCACTAAATTATCTGTTTAGATGCTGTCCTGCTTTTGCATTTCCTTTTTGTGCTCGTGTTGGTTTTCTACTTCCTGTTGTTGTGAATTAGAGGAGCACCACATAGAAATCTGATACATGGCAATTATATGAACACACACACACACACACACACACACACACACACACACACACACATATATATATCAAAAATTTAGGGCAGCAATTCTTTTACACACTCTAAAAATACTGGGTCGTTGTAACTCAAAACTCAATTGAGTCAAACGTTGACAAACCCAAAACAGTGGGTAAAAGATGTAATTTAACCAGGCGTTTTCCTGTACACTGTTGATTCAACCTGGACTGAAAGTACCCAGCATTTCTAAAAGAGTGCTGCAACATTTAGTCAAACTGCACTCTAAAAATGCAGGATTGTTGTTAACCCAAAATTGGGCTAAATATGGACAACTCAACTTTGGCTTAATTTTTTTTTCATTATATTTTCATTAAATTACATTTTTTCATGAAATTTAAATGACAACCCACCATTTGGGTTTGTCTACATTTGACCCAGTTTTGGATTACAACAACCCAGCTTTTTGAAGAGCGTGTTCAACATTTTTTTGGCTTGAATCAAGTTAAATTTAAGTAACTTTCTTGTCCGTGTTTTACACAAACTTGGGTTGAAATTACCCAGCATTTTTTGGAGTGCAGCTTGACTAATGATTTAAAAATGTTGCAACTCATTGTACAAATGCTGGGTAATTTCAATCCAATTTTGGGTCAAATATGGGCAAGATTAGTTCATGACTGGTAAAGTTAATTTGATTCAGTGCAAAAGAATAAAAAATAATTAAGCTAATGTTGAATTTTTCCATATTTGACCCAATTTTGAGTTAACAACAAATCATTTTGTAGATTTAAACTTTTGGGTTGAATTAAATTAACTTTACCAGTCACATTCCTGTCCATATTTGACCCAACATTGGATCAAAATTATCCCACATTTTTAGAGGGTGCTGCCACATTTCTGGATCATCAGTCAAACTGTACTTTAGAAATGCTGGGTAATTTCAACCCAAAAACACAAACAAGAAAATGACTATACGTTTAATTTAAATCAACCCAAAAGGTTAAGACAGCAACTGTTTTATTTTTAACACACTCTTCAAAATACTGGGCTGTTGTAATCCAAAATTGGGTCAAATATGGACAAACCCAAACAGCGGATCAAAAATTGTGTGATTTAAATTCAATTTAAAAAATATATTAAGTAATTTTCTTGTCCATCCCTGCTGAAAAATCCAGCTTAAACCAGCCTAGGCTGGTTTAAGCTAGATTTTTCTGTAGGGATATTTGACCCAAAATTAGACTGAAAGTACCCAGCATTTGATAGTGTCTTGCAACACTTAAAAACACATGAGTCGAAATGCACTCTAAGAATGCTGGGTTGTTGTTAACCCAACACTGAGTCAAATATGGAAAAACCCAAAAGGTGGGTAAAAAGTGTCATTTAAATTCAATTAAATATTAAGCCAACGTTGAATTTGTCCATACTTGACCCAAAATTTGGGTTAAGAACAAATCATTTTGTAGGTTGTGTAAGAAATGAAATTTTTTGAATCAAATTAACTTTTACGTCATTTTCATGCCCATATTTGACCCAACATTGGACTGAAATTACCCCAAATAGAGAGGGTGTGCAACATTTCCGAATCATTAGTCAAACTGCTCTCTAAAAAAATGCTGGGTAATTTCAACCCAAAAACATGGAGAAGAAAATGACTATTAAACTTAATTTGATTCAACCCAAAAAATGAAGACAGCAACTATGTGTTTTAACACAATCTTCAACCTGCTGGATTGTTATTTTCCAAAATTGGGTCAAATATGGACAAACTCATATGGTGGGGAAAAAGTGTCATTTAAATTTCATGAAAATGAAGGCAACATTTGATTTGTCCATATTTGACCCAATTTTGGGTTACCAACAAATCATTTTTTGTAAAAAAGAAAAGGTTTCTGTCTTAAACTTTGGATTTAATCAAGTTAATTTTACTAGTCATTTTCTTGCCCACTTGACCCAACATTAGCGTTGCAGCATTTCTGAATCATTGGTCAAGCTGCACTCTAAAAAACACGGTGTAATTTCAGCCCAGTTTTGGGTAAAACACAGACAAGAAAATGACTAGAAAATTTAATTTGATTCAACTGAAATATTTAAGACACTATTTAACACTCTATTTAAAATAGTGGGTTGTTGTAACCCAAAATTGGGTCAAATATGGACAAACCAATATGGTGGGTAAAAAGTGTCATTTAAATTGAATTAAAATGAAGCCAACATTTGATTTGTCCATATTTGACCCAATTTTGGGTTACCAACAAATCATTTTGTAGATGTTTCTGCCTTAAAATTTTGGATTTAATCAATTTAACTGTAGTCATTTTCTTGTCCACATTTGACCCAACATTCGCGTTGCAACATTTCTGAATCATTTGTCAAGCTGCACTCTAAAACACACGGTGTGATTTCAACCCAGTTTTAGAAAATGACTATTAAATTTAATTTGATTCAACCCAAATATTTAAGATGGCAACTATTTTTATTACACTATTTAAAAAACACTGTGTAATTTCAACCAAATTTGTGGTAAAACACAAGAAACTGACTAGTAAATTTAATTTGATTCACCCAAAAGTTTAAGACAGCAGCTATTTGTTATAACACAATTTTCTGGGTTGTTGTAATATAAAAAATTGGGTCAAATATGGACAAACCCATATTGTAGGGAAAAAGTGTCATTTAAATTGTATAAAAATGAAGCCAACATTTGATTTGTCCATGTTTGACCCAATTTTGGGTTACCAACAAATCATTTTGTTGATGTTTCTGTCTTAATTTTTGGGATTTCTGTCCACTTGACCCAACATTTCTGAATCATTGGTCAAACTGCACTCTAATTGACACTGTGTGATTTCAACCCAATTTGGGGTAAAACACAGACAAGAAAATGACTAGAAAATGTAATTTGATTCAACCCAAATATTTAAGACAGGAACTATTTCTTTAACCCACTCTACAAAATGCTGGGTTGTTATAATCCAAAATTGGGTCAAATATGAACAAACCCAAATGGTGATTAAAAAAGTCTTAAATTTAATAAATAAATGTCATTTTAATAAAAAAACCATTGAAGCCAACATTTGATTTGTCCCTATTTGACCAAATGTTGGGTTAACAACAACCCAGCAACACAATGTACTGTTATATGATGGTGTCCTGTGCGCTTTCCCGCTTTTACTCCGACATGTAAACACACTCTGAGGAGCTGATCAGTGCGACTGTGAGAAAACTAGAACAAATATTTGACAATACCCTCAGATGAATACATTGCTTTAATTTTAAATTAAATTAATACATTGTAAATAATAACAAAAACTGGGCCAGTTGATGTTTCTGTGTGGAGTTTGCATGTTCTCTCCATGTTGGCGTGGGTTTCCCCCACTGTCCAAACACATGCGCTATAGGGGAACTGATGAAATTGGCTGTAGTGTATGAGTGTAAGTGTGTGTGTGAATGAGTGTGTATGGGTGTTTCTCAGTATTGGGTTGTGGCTGGAAGGGCATCCGCTGTGTAAAACATATGCTGGAATAGTTGGCGGTTCATTCCGCTGTGGCGACCCCTGATAAAATAAGCGACTAAGCCGAAGAAAAATGTGTCCACTTTATCTATAGATTTTTTAACTGAATTATCCCTGTAAGCTAGTTTATCTTCCAGTATAACTTTGTTTGAGAGATCTCTCTGTGTTTGCTGTGCAGATATATTGATATGTGTGTGTTCTCCATTACAGCTGAAGCCTGAAAGTGTGTGTGTGATCACAGCTAAAGCCTGAAAGTGTGTGTGTGCTGCTGATAATGAGGATTAAACAGGTCGTGATGCAGTAACTCCAGCGCTTCATCATTATATCAGCTCCGGGAGAAACAGGAGGATGAGGAGAGGCCGCAGAAAACCCGGAGGACGGGACAAAGTGTTCGGATGTGACCTGCTGGAACATCTGTCCTCCAGCGCGCAGGACGGTCAGAAATTAGAGCACACAGTTGACGTCAGAATTATTAAACCCCCTTTAAAATTATTTATCTTTTTTAAATATTTCCCAAATGATGTTGAACAGATTCAGGAAATGTTCACAGTATGTCTGATTATATTTGTTCTTCTGGAGAAAATCTAATTTGTTTTATTTCGGCTAGAATAAAAGCAGTTTTTTTTTTAAACACCATTTTAAGGACAAAATTATTAGCTTGTTTAAGCAAATTTCTTTTGATAGTCTACAGAACAAACCATCAATAACTTGCCTAATTATTAATGTTATTATTATTGTTGCTTTTGTTGTTATTATTAATGTTATTATTATTGTTAACATTATTATTGTTTTTATTGACGCATTATTATTATTATTATTATTATTATTATTATTAATAATGTTGCTATTAATATTATTGTTATTATTATAACAATTATTATTGTTATTATTAATGTTATTATTATTGTTATTATTATTAATGCTATTATTATAATTATTGTTGATATTATGATTATTATTTATGTTATTATTATTATTGTATATTATGATTAATGTTATTCTTATTGTTGTTGTTATTGTTAATATTATTTAATATTATTATCATTATTATTATGATTATTATTAATGTTGTTGTTAATAATGTTATTATTATTGTTATTATTATTATTATTATTTTTAATGATATTATTAATATTTTCATTATTATTATCATTATTATTGTTGTTATTATTATTAATGTTATTATTATTATTAATGTTATTATTATTGTTATTATTAATGTTATTATTATTATTATTATTATTAATGTTATTATTATTATTAATGTTGTTATTATTATTATTATTATTATTAATGTTATTATTATTATTATTATTATTATTATTATTATTATTATTATTAATGTTATCATTATTATTATTATTATTAATATTATTATTATTATTAATGGTAAAAGTATAAAAGCAATAATGACTAAAGTAACAATTTCATTTAAAACTAACATACAATGAGTAATAAATATCTATAAAATATATATAAAAAATAAATATAACATTTAATGAATAAATATTTAACAATTTAACTTTTTTTAAAAACATGTAACGCCGCCTTGATGACAAAATAATTGTCTGTAAATTATTAAATAAAATTAATGTTTAAAAAAAATTGACCCCAAACTTTTGGTCGGTAGTGTATATGCATGTCATGCATTTATTTATCCACAAAAACACACACCCACATCTATGCACAAATATATTCTGTAAATATAAACTTTCATTTTGGATCCTGATGAATGGTTTGACAGCACTTGTGCTCACTCACGTCTGCTGTCCTGCATCAGTTCCTCAGGTTCTGCGCAGCTGCAGTGAGTTCATCGAGAAACACGGCATCGTGGACGGCATTTACAGACTGTCTGGTGTCTCATCCAACACACAGAAGCTCAGGTGATCAACACACACACACACACACACACACACACACACACACACACACACACGTACACACACACACACAAACACGTACACACACACACTGGAGTTAAAGGGCACCTATTATGCAAAAAAAACACTTTTATGGAGGGTTTAGACCCAGTAGTGTGTGTGTGTATGTGTGTGAATATCTCCAGCCTCTAATGGTCTAATGTCTAATGGTTAACTGTATTTGTTATAATCAGACTTGATAAAAACAGCCTACAGAAACCCTTTGATTGACATTCTCCCTTTGGCATCGGAGGGGGAAGGCCCCGCCCACTAGGTTATGGTCTGGATATCTTCTGGTTATATTCAGGTTATGTTTAGGTTGTGTTCTGATTATATTCTGGTTATTTTTTTATTATATTTAATTTATGTTCTGGTTATGCTCAGGTCATATTCATGATAAGTTTGAATTGTATTCAGGTTATATTCATGATATGTTTTTGTTATATTCTTGATATGTTCTGGTTATATTCATGTTATGTTTTTGTTATATTCTGAATATGATCTGGATATGTTTTGGTTATATTCAGGTTATATTCATGATAAGTTTTGATTATATCAAGGTCAAATTTATGTAATGTTCTGGTTATATTCATGTTTTGTTTTTGTAATATTTTGGATATGGTCTGGATATGTTCTGGTTATATTCAGGTCATATTCATGTTATGTTTTGGTTATATTTTGGATATGGTCTGGATATGTTCTGGTTATATTCAGGTCATATTCATGTTATGTTTTGATTATAATCTGGTTAGGTTCAGGTTATAATCAGGTTATGTTCAGTTTATGTTTTGTTTATGCTCTGATTGTATTCTGGCTATAGGTTCAGATTTTATTCAGGCTATAATCTGGTTATGTTCAGGTTATATTCATTATATGTTCTGGTGATGATTTAGTTTTATTCAGGTTATGTTTTGATTATGTTCAGGTTATGTTCATGTCATATTCAAGTTGTGTTTTGGTTATTTTAAGATGTTCAGATTACGCTCAGGTTATGTTTTGGGGGTATTCAAGAAAGCAGGGTTTGTGAAATACCCAGATAAGTTTAAGGATATGTAACCAGATCATCTTTTGTTTAAACTTAACCAAACCTGAGTTAACCAAGAAAGTTGATGACCAGGGTCGTCACAGTACCAACAAAGCCTGAATCCACAAGTTTGGTTTTGTCAACTCAAATCTAATTCTACAATCTAGATTTTTGTTAAATCGCCATCATGGTACAGGCTTATATTAGTTTTATTTTTTTATATCATATGTAGTTCCATATATATATGTAATACGTCTCCCACTCATTAACATAATCAGCAGCCCTGAGTGAGAAGCAGCCGTCTGTCCATTAGCCGTTAGAGTATATATATATAATTTGTTAAAGTGGCAAACTTTATCATTTCTTGTGTCTTAAATTTAAAACCTAACCTAAAACCTGAATTCAAGTTTAATTTGGGTACATTTGGGTAAAAATTCTCTTGAAATTGCTTGACATCCTGAAACTATTGCAGATTTTCACATTGCGGTATTGATGCAGAAATGATATATTGTGCAGCCCTACACGGATCATCCCACATTTGAAACTTTTATTTTTAAGAGCATTGACATGTTAACCAAAATAAAATAGTATAGTTGTAAGATTATTAGAGTTATAAGGTGCAATAATACAAAACGAATGCTTTTTAAAACAAAAAAGCTTTAGTGTAAAGGATGCCCAAAATGTCTGACTGACGTGTGTGTGTGTGTGTGTGTGTGTGTGTTTTCAGGAGTGAGTTTGACAGCGAAGGCTCTCCGGATCTCTATAAGGAGGTGTATCTGCAGGACATTCACTGCGTCAGTTCGCTCTGCAAAGCTTATTTCAGAGAATTACCAAACCCTCTGCTCACATACGAGCTGTACGACCGCTTCGCCGTGAGTCTCTATTCCCTCATTTAATCTTTAATTTGAGATGTACTGGTTTGTGCATTGTGCAATTATACATTGACGATCGGGGTGGTCAGCTTTTTTAGTAGTAGTTTGGTAATACATGCTTCAGTGAATCGATTTACGACTTACGAATAAAATGTATTTTCAAATGTACATTTATAATTACAGTATTTATTTATTAATATTTATGATATAGATCAGAGATCAGAGAAAGCTATTTCGTTAAGTGCAACCATACTCTATGGTCCAGCGCAGCCTTCACACGGTCGCAGACCCCTGGTCATGGCTGATTCTCCAAAAATGTTACTACACATCTCAACGACGCGTAGTGCAAGCTCTGTGATTGGCCGGCTTGGTAGCGGTGATGAGCGTGGGCTGTGCTGAGAGCCGCAAGCCTGATGGAGCGAGTGTTTACAAGTGTGGAGTCCCGTGAAGGAGCTCCACGTGGAGAGTTTTGTTTTGTGTTTACCTCACGATTAAAGTTGTTGCACGTCCGCCGGCTCCTGCCTCTTCTACATTAAAGAAGAGTTTAGAAAAAACAAAACACCAGCAAAGAAACTGAGCACAAAGGAAAATTAACACCTACTGCAAAGAGTCGACAAGAGGCGACACTCTAGTGCAATATGGGAAACAGCCACTAGATGGCGCAGCGGCCGTTTTGGAATGAAAATTCCAATAGAGAAGCAGCATATTATAAGTGTGTAAAATAAACTATTAAAAGTGCTGATGATTGTGATGGTAAGTGTTGTATTGTCGTCTTTCAGGTTGTATCTCAGCTTTAATGCACGTTTTAAATAAATAAAAAAAAAACAAAGCAGCTGCTCGCCATCACAACAGCAATAAGACCCAATGGACAGCCGATTGCTTTCACTCCAAAATGGCGGAATCCAGGGCTGTTGCTGGGCGCTGCTGTTGCAGTGGAACATTCTATTGAGTGTCGCCTCTTGGTCATTCCAAGCTCTTTGCCTACTGTCTACTAGTGTTTCTGAAGAGTTATTGCAGTGCAACACAAACAGCACGCAGAATATAAATGCATGACTAGGCACAAGGCATGCACCTTGGGTCACGCCAATCACTCGGCGTAGAAGTATAAACCAGCCTTTACTATTACATTTACATTTGGTCATTTAGCAGACGCTTTTATCCAAAGCGACTTCCAAATGAGGACAAGGAAGCAACTTACACAGCTATAAGAACAACAATGAATAAGTGCTGTAGGCAAGTTTCAGGTCTGTAAAGTCTAAGTATTAGTAATTTTTTAGTAATTTAATAATTTTTTTGGAGTACAGTTAGTGTGATATCCAGAGAGGCAATTGCAGATTAGGAAGGGAAGTGGAGACTAAATAGTTGAGTTTTTAGTGGTTTCTTGAAGACAGCGAGTGACTCTGCCGTTCTGATGCAGTTAGGGAGTTCATTCCACCAACTGGGCAGATTGAATGCGAGAGTTTGGGAAAGTGATTTCTTCCCTCTTTGGGATGGAACCACGAGGCGACGTTCATTCACAGAACGCAAGTTTCTGGAGGGCACATACATCTGCAGAAGTGAGAGCAGATAAGAAGGAGCAAAGCCAGAAGTCGCTTTGTAAGCAAACATCAGAGCTTTGAATTTGATGCGAGCAGCAACTGGCAGCCAGTGCAAACGGATGAGCAGCGGAGTGACATGTGCTCTTTTAGGTTCATTAAAGACCACTCGTGCTGCTGCGTTCTGGAGTTAGCTGGAAGCCCCGCTATTAAAGGACCGACGCCCCATACATCCTGTTTTAAAGTCCTTGAGGGGGGGATCAAGTTTTAATTAGGAGGGTCAATCCGCCCCAAACCTCCCTGTAATTCGCACACTGCTTCTGAAATATTTTGGTCAGGCCCTATATCTAAACAAGCAAAATAGACACTGCGTTTGTTCTGATGGCACATATCGAGCACAAGCGAACTGTGCTGATTTGGATCGATTTAAGCAACATGGGGCAGAATGTGACGTCACACAATCAAAACAATACTGATTAATATCTCAGACACCAAACCAGCACAAGCGTCCATTTTTGTGGCACAAACGGTATGGCATAGTTTTGGGGATTATTCATTTTTATGGGGTGCCAGCTTGACGGAGGTAACTCCCCTTTATTCTTAATCTGCTTGTTGTCATCTGTCTGCCTTCTGTTTACCTGTTGGCAAGAACATTTGTCAACAGAAGTTATTAAACATGTGCTGTATAATTATCAGGATGCAGTTGCGGTTCAGCTGGAGGACGAGAGGTTGGTGAAGATTCGAGAAGTTCTGAAGGATTTACCAGCTCCTCATTACAGGTCAGCTGCAGATTATAAACCTGTTCACCATAATGTCAAACATGCACAATAAACAAAGCTCTGCTGGGGCCCATACCATGAAGCTAGATTAGCTGGTTAGCCGGTCAAGTTTGGTTTGCACAAATCCTGGGTTTTAGGTACCACAAAGTTAGCTTTAAACTATCTCTGGCACCATGGTATGTTACATTGTACTACTAACCTGTTCTGCGGCAGGTTATGTTCATGTTGTATTCCGGTTAGGTTTAGGTCTGGATATCTTCTGGTTATATTCAGGTTATGTTTAGGTTGTGTTCTGATTATATTCTGGTTATGTTTTGATCATATTTAATTTATGTTCTGGTTATGTTCAGGTTATGTTCTGGTCATATTTATGTTTTGTCTAGATATGGTCTGGATATGCTCTAGTTATATTCAGGTCATATTCATGATATGTTCTGGTTACATTCAGGTTATATTCATGATATGTTCTGGTTACATTCAGGTTATATTCATGTTATGTTCTTGTTATATTCTGGATATGTTCTGGTTATGTTCAGGTTATATTCATGATAAGTTTTGATTATATTCAGGTCATGTTCATGATATGTTCTGGTTATATTCAGGTTATATTCATGTTATGTTCTTGTTATATTCTGCATATGATCTGGATATGTTCTGGTTATATTCAGGTCATATTCATGATATGTTTTGGTTATATTCTGGTTATATTCAGGTTATATTCATGTTATGTTTTTGTTATATTCTGGTTATATTCAGGTAATATTCATGTTATGTTCTGGCTATATTCTGCATATGATCTGGATATGTTCTGGTTATATTCAGGTCATATTCAGGTTATGTTCTGTTTATATTCATGTTATGTTTTTGTTATATTTTGGATATCTGGTTATGTTCTGGTTATATTCTGGATATGGTCTGGATATGTTTTTGTTATATCCAGGTCATATTTATGATTTGTTTTGGTTATATTCAGGTTATGTTTTTGTTATATTCTGGATATGTTGTGGTTATATTCATGTTTTATTCATGCTATGTTCTGGTTATATTCTGCTTATGATCTGGATATGTTCTGGTTATATTCAGGTCATTTTCATGATATGTTTTAGTTATATTCATGTTATGTTTTTGTTATATTCTGGTTATATTCAGGTTATATTCATGTTATGTTCTGGTCATATTCTGCATATGATCTGGATATGTTTTGGTTATATTTAGGTCATGTTCAGGTTATGTTCTGGTTATATTCAGGTCATATTCATGATATGTTTTTGTTATATTCAGGTCATATTCATTATGTTTTCTGGTTATATTAAGGTCATATTCATGTTATGTTCTGGTTATATTCTGGTTGGGTTCAGGATATGGTGTGGTTGTGTTCTGATTATTTTATGGTTATGTTTTGGTTATATTCAGGTTAAGTTCAGGTTATGTTTTGATTATAATCTAGTTAGGTTCAGGTTATAATCAGGTTATGTTCAGTTTATGTTTTGTTTATGTTCTGATTGTAGATGGGGTCGTCACAGTACCAACAAAACCTGAATCCACAAGTTTGGATTTGTCAACTCAAAATTAATTCTACAATCTAGATTTTTGTTAAACCACCATTATATTACAGGCTTATATTTGAAATTTTATATTTTTATATCATATGTAGTTCCATATATATATATATATATACAGTTGAAGTCAGAATTATTAGCCCCCCTGTTAAATTTTTTCCCCAATTTCTGTTTAACAGAGAGCAGATTTCTTCAACAAATTTCTTATCATAATAGTTTTAATAACTCATCTCTAATAACTGATTTATTTTCTCTTTGTCATGATGACAGTAAATAATATTAGACTAGATATTCTTCAAGACACTTCTATACAACTTAAAGTGACATTTAAAGGTTTAACTAACTTAATTAGGGTAACTAGGCAGGTTAGGGTAATTAGGCAAGTTATTGTATAATGATGGTTTGTTCTGTAGACTATCAAAAAAAAAATTAGCTTAAAGGGGCTAATAATATTAACCTCAAAATGGCTTTTAAAAAATTAAAAACTGCTTTTATTCTAGCCGAAATAAAACAAATAAGACTTTCTCCAGAAGAAAAAATATTATCAGACATACTGTGAAAATTTCCTTGCTCTGTTAAACATCATTTAGGAAATATTTAAAAAAGAAAAAAAATTAAAAGGGGGGCGAATAATTCTGACTTCAACTATATGTATATTTAAGTAATGAAAATGGCTTTAGGTTATTTAAGATGAATGAGAATCAGACTTTATACTGTAGATTGTTAGTGTATAAGAAACTACAGTGCACAACTCACACAGATCTTACTGATTTTTAATTAGAGCTTTTACTTTGCATTTGTAATTTATAGTGATTATTTATTATTTTTACTCTGAATTGTGATAATTGTATGTTGTTTTTACTCTCTCCTGAGGTTTATTGTGATTATGATTTAATATGATGTTTTCACTGTATTTTCCTGCAGGACTCTGGAGTTTTTGATGCGTCATCTGGTCAAAATGTCCACTTTTGCATCTGAGACCAACATGCATTCCAGAAACCTGGCCATCGTTTGGGCCCCGAACTTACTCAGGTGTGTGTGTGTGTGCATTCATTTTAGCCATTATTTAACATTTATACTGCATTTATACATTAATAAAGCAAAAAGTGGGCGAAAAAACATTAGAATAAATATACAGTGACCTCTTTTGGCGCTTTATCTTAGATTTTTAAAAGAAAACACTGTTTATTTTTGCTTGATTTAATATTAAAAAGTTGCTGTGTTATATTTTTTTCCACCTATGATATGTTTAAAGAGCCAGAATTGTTTTATACAGTTTTATATACTGCCAAATATACATACAGAAGCCTGTAGGTTGACCACCCATTTCATTTTGCAGTGAAAAGCACAGTATTTTAACTTGCATGTTGCATATGTGTTTTAGATTAATTATTAAATCTAGAAAATGTATTTACCTATTGGTTCATTTTTCTAAATGTATACCTAACCTACCTGATAGACGCCTGTCTAAAATGTAGAGCAGATGATTCCCTGAATTTAAATCACATGAGGAAGTAAAGAAGTTATGTTGTAATTGTGTTTTCTGGAAGGGCACAAAGCATATAAATGATCAGACAGGCAGAATACATGTTTTTATTTAGCCATGTGCAGTTTCAGATTGTGTTTTACTGTCTCAAATAGTCACACACAAACTTAATAATCCTCCCATTTTAGTTTATTTGCTGCTGGTTACGCTGGAAGTCTGTGTACTGCCAAAGAATGCATCCCTGTCAGATTATGCCTCAACTCATTCACCAGTATGAGGAATATTGGGTGCATTATTCAGTAGTAACATTAATATTTAGAGGGGAAATAGATTAGATTATTCAATCAAGAATAAATTTTAACGAAGGCATGATTAATATGGCCGGTGTGTCATTTTTGGGTTACCACTCACACATCATTTGGGTTTTTGTCTGCATTTTTGCTATAAATGATTGCATGGTAATTCAGATCGAAGGACATCGAATCGACGGGATTCAACGGCACCGCGGCATTCATGGAGGTTCGGGTTCAATCCATCGTGGTGGAGTTTGTTCTCACTCATGTGCCTGAACTCTTCCCTGAAACAGGTGATTCATCTTCATTAATAATGAGCCATTGTTTTCTTATGCAGAATATAACGATGAGTGTTTTTGTCTTGTTTTATATTACAAAACATAAAATTTATTAAATCTTTACATTTACTTCAGAAGCATAATTACTTTAGAATTTTAATATTTGTATAATTTTAAGAAATTAAAAAATAATGTGTGAGTTTTAATATTAAACAAATGTCTGTCAACTAGGTCTGAAATAGTAACTTATTTCAAAAGAAAAACAAGCTTCTCAGCCCAACTGGTAGATATTTTATTGTTATTTTGCTCACAGCTGATTGGTGAAATCTCAGTTTGTGATCTCCAAGCCAGAACATAACCTGAACAAAACCAGAATATAACCTAATAATAACCAGAATATAACTTGAGCCTAACCCATACATAGCCAAAACATAACCAGAACATAACCTGAACATAAACCGAAGATAGCCAAAACATAACCTGAGCATAACCTGAGCATAACCTAAACATAACCAAAATATAATTAGAACATAACCTGAACATATCCAAAATATAACCTGGTAATAACCAGAATATAACTTGAGCATAACCAGAACATGACCCAAACAAAGCTAAAACATAACCAGAACATAACCTGAACATAACCAGAACATAACCTGAACATAAACCGAAGATAGCCAAAACATAACCAGACCATAACCTGAGCATAACCTAAATATAACCAGAACATAATTAGAACATAACCTGAACATATCTAAAATATAACCAGAACATAACCTGAAAATAAACCAAAGATAACCAAAACATACCCTGAACATAACCAGAATATAACCTGAGCATAACCCAAACATAACCAGAATATCACTTGAACATAGCCAAAACATAACCAGAAAATAACCTGAACATAAACCGAAGATAGCCAAAACATACAGACCATAACCTGAGCATAACCTTATCATAACCTGAACATAACCAAAACATAACCAGAGTATAACTTGAACATAGCCAAAACATAACCAGAATTTAAACCAAAGATAGCCAAAACATAAACAGACCATAACCTGAGCATAACCTGAACATAACCAGAACATAGGTAAAACATAACCCAATCATAACCCCAAAATAGTCAAAATATAGCCAGAACATAACCAAAACATAACTTGAACATAACCTGAACATATCCAAAACATAACCAGAACATAACCTGAACATAAACTAAAGATAGCCAAAACATAACCAGAACATAACAATAATATAACCTGAACATAACCCAAGCATAACCAGAACTTAAACTGAACATAACCTGAGCATAACCAGAACATAACATGAATATAGCCAAAACATAACCAAAACATAATCAGAACATAACCAAAACCTGAACACAACATGAACATAATTATAAAATAACCCAAACATAAACTAACAAACTCACTGAATTTTAATTTTGTATTTATTTTTTATTTATAAAACAACCTGACTTTATCTTAGCTAGATTTGCCATTTATGTTTTTACGTTCAAACTTGTTTGAGTTTCTTGTTTCTGTTGACCACATAAGAAGATATTCTGAAGAATGTTGCAAACTGGTAGCCATTGACTCCCACATTACTAGATTTTTACAGTTCGAGTGGCAAACATTTTTCAAAATATACATGTTTGTATTCAGCAGAAATATGCTTAAGGAGCACTTAAGGGTGAATAAAAATTTGTAAACATTAATTTTTGCATAAACTGTCCCTTAAAAAACGCTTAAATATACAATAAGTAAAACCAATATTAATAACATTTTTTGCAGTATGTACCAGTGATCTGATGTTGTTTCGACTGTGTTCATGCAGGTGTAAGCATGGAGCGCCGCAAGTCTCTGCCGTCTCCTTCAATTCTGTCCAGTCAAGACGATCACTTCTTCAAGTCTTTACCCTTAATTAGTTCAGGAAACCTCAGTCCCGGAGATGGACCTCTACCCATGAGACCCTACCACGCCATTATCGACGGCACTGACAAGTAAGACTTAGAGAAAAAATAATGTATTTATTTCTAATATTTTATACCTGTCATGCGGAAATAAATATAAGACTGAAACCACCAGTAGGTGGCAGCACATAATGGTCTCAAAGTGCGCATTAATTCAAAATATAAGATGTTTATTTTGCTAGTGCACATTGTTAGTTTTAGAATTAAACTGTGTGAGTTAATTATGTGAAAAATGCAGTTTATTTTGTTATTCTTTAATCAAAATTTGCTCATCTGCTTTCTCTCTGGAATGGCAGTCCTTCTCTGATGATTCTGATTAGGCGAAATATGCTTAGCCACGCCCCTCCACCTGTTAGTTTGCTAAGAGTGAAAAATGAGAGGTGGAACCCATAAATAAACCCCACCTCCTATTTAATTCATTCATTTTCTTTTCAGCATGGCCCCTTTATTAATCAGGGGTCATCACAGGTGAATGAACCACCAACTTATCCAGTATATGTTTAACGCACCGAATGCCCTTCCAGCTGCAACCCAACACTGGGAAACTACCATACACTCTTACATTCACACTCATACCCTATGGCCAATTTAGTTGATCAATTCCCCTATAGCGCATGTGTTTAGACTGTGGGGGCACCCAGAGGAAACCTACGCCAACACGGGAAGAACATGCAAACTCCACACAGAAACGCCCACTGGCCCAGCTGGGGCTTGAACCAGCAACCTTCTTGCATCGAGGCTACCCACTGCGCCACTGCACTTTATTTTATTTGATTAAATCACAATGTTGGTGCCAAACACACATACAGTACCTCTAAATGTTGTGACTGACCAATTAGAATCAAGAGAGCTGTGTAATAATCTGAATAACACCCGGCTGGATGTACATTATCCCTTATTTACTCTCTTCTATGTTGTTTTCAGGAGGAAAGGCTCCCTCAAAGGCAGAAAATGGAAATCCATCTTTAATTTGGGCGCGCGACTCCACGACCCGCGCAAGAAGAACAAATACTGTCCTAAAGGTACCGTTGACAGATTTACAGTGCATTCTGAAAGACTCTAGATTCATTATTTTTTGCATTGCATGTTTAAAGTCAACAAGTAAAGTGTTTTCTCCCCGATTCTCACTCTTCTTCACTGGTGTTTGTGTTGTGAATGCACAGATAAAGAGAAGACGAGCCTCAGGCCTGCTAAGAGCATGGATTCGCTGAGCACAGGTACTACTGCACTCGAAGGTATGATTAAACTATGAAGACTAGATTGTATATACCTGATTATATACATTTTACACATTTTACTGTTTAGTAGTAGTAGTATTTATTATATGCAAATTTATATTTGTTTTATTAAAAACAAGCTTAGGTTTGTCCACGTGCCAGGTTTTAGATCATATGGGGCACAGCATGTGTATTAGGATATAACTCAGTTGTTTGAGCACACTTCATTATTATTGTTCATTTGTTTGTTTGCTGGAAATTAGAACTGAATTTAGAAATAGTTTTGATACAAATCTTTGCACTTAACAAACAAAATAAATTATGTATAGGCTAAAGGATATCTGTGCATACAAGGTTTCCCTATCCATGAAAGAGAGAAAGTGAAAGTAAAGGCAGATTGGAGGAGGCTCATTCTCTCATTCTCGTGCTGCAGATGCTCTGTCTAACTGTTTTCTCTCTAGTGAAGGATTTAGTTTTTACACTTATAATCGGCCCTATACACCCGGCGAAATGCAGCGCAAGGCGCAACGCAATTGTTGTTTGCTAGCTTCAGCTCGACGCAAGAGTCATTTTGACGTTTTGCAGCACGCTGTTTAAATAGCGAATGCATTTGCGCTCATATGTGCGTTCTGCTCTAAAAAAGGAGGCGTGTTGAGGCGCACTGCTGGCACGTTGCTATTTTGAGGAATTAAAATAGACTGCACAATAAACCAGCTGAGAGGAGGTCTACAGTCCAGCACAGAGTGTGTTAGTTGTGCGGCAAACATTGCTTAATACACACAGGATGTACAGCAATACGCAAATATCTTTACAAATGAAAAAGAATTAAAGGATTAAAATATTACAAAACATGTTATTTTCTAGCCTACATCAATATAAACACCACTGCCTTCATGCCTTCTTCATCTCGGGAGGCTTTTTCAGTTCATTCATAACAATGTGCTTTTGTATAATGTTATTATTATTAGCAGTATTCTTTATTATATGCAAATTTATATTTGTTTTATTAAAAACAAGCTTAGATTTGTCCACCTGTCAGGTTTTAGACCATATGGGGCACAGCATGTGTATTAGGATATAAGTCAGGTTTTTGAACACACTTTGTTATTACTATTCATTTATTTGTTTGCTGGAAATTAGAACCGAATTTAGAAATAGTTTTGAAACAAATCTTTGCACTTAACAAACAAAATAAATTATGTATAGGCTAAAGGATATCTGTGCGTACAACACGTTTCCCTATCCACGAAAGAGAGAAAGTAAAAGTAAAGGCAGATTGAAGGAGGCTCATTCTCTCATTCTCGTGCTGCAGATGCTCTGTCTAACTGTTTTCTCTCTAGTGAAGGATTTAGTTTTTACACTTATAATGGGCCCTATACACCCGGCGAAATGCAGCGCAAGCCGCAACGCAATTGTTGTTTGCTAGCTTCAGCTCGGCGCAAGAGTCATTTTGACGGTTTGCGCCATGCTATTTAAATAGCAAATGCATTTGCGCTCATATGTGCGCCCATAGGCGTTCTGCTCTAAAAAAGGAGGCTTGTTTAGGCGCATTGCTGGCACGTTGCTATTTTGAGGAATTAAAATAGACTGCACAATAGACCAGCTGAGAGGAGGTCTACAGTCCAGCACAGAGTGTGTTAGTTGTGCGCCAAACATTGCTTAATACACACAGGATGTACAGCAATACGCAAATATCTTTACAAATGAAAAAGAATTAAAGGATTAAAATATTACAAAACATGTTATTTTCTAGCCTACATCAATATAAACACCACTGCCTTCATGCCTTCTTCATCTCGGGAGGCTTTTTCAGTTCATTCATGACAATTTGCTTTAGTATAATGTTATTATTATTAGCAGTATTATTTATTATATCCATATTTATATTTGTTTTATTAAAAACAAGATTTGATTTGTCCACCTGTCAGGTTTTAGACCATATGGGGCACAGCATGTGTATTAGGATATAACTCAGTTGTTTGAGCACACTTCATTATTATTGTTCATTTGTTTGTTTGCTGGAAATTAGAACCGAATTTAGAAATAGTTTTGAAACAAATCTTTGCACTTAAAAAACAAAATAAATTATGTATAGGCTAAAGGATATCTGTGCGTACAACACGTTTCCCTATCCACGAAAGAGAGAAAGTGAAAGTAAAGGCAGATTGGAGGAGGCTCATTCTCGTGCTGCAGATGCTCTGTCTGTTTTCTCACTAGTGAAGGGTTTAGTTTTTAAGCTTACAATGGGCCCTATCCTACACCCGGCGCAATGCAGCACAAGGCGCAACGCAATTGTTGTTTGCTAGCTTCAGCTCGGCACAAGAGTCATTTTGACGTTTTGCAGCACGCTGTTTAAATTTGTGCTCATATGTGCGCCCATAGGCGTTCTGGTCTAAAAAAGGAGGCGTGTTGAGGCGCATTGCTGGCGCGTTGCTATTTTGAGGAATTAAAATAGATTGTTCAATAGACCAACTGAGAGGAGGTCTACAGTCCAGCGCAGAGCACATTAGTTGTGCACCAAACATTGCTTAATACACACAGGATGTACAACAATTCGCAAATATCTTTACAAATGAAAAAGAATTATAGGATTAAAATATTACAATAATTATCATTTTCTAGCCTACATAAATATAAACTCCACCCCCTCCATGCCTTTTTCATCTCGGGGGGCTTTTTCAGTTTATTCATGACAATTTGCTTTTGTATAATGTTATTTTTACTATAATGAGGAGGCTCTTCTCTCAGTCTCGCGCTCCGTTTAACTGTTTTCTCGCTAGTGAAACTTCAGTTTTTCCACTTACAAAGTCGTCATGTAAATAGCAAATGGCGCGGAGCAACTGACTCTTAAAGGGAATGGGAAACGAGACTCTGATTGGTTCATTCTCAAAACACACCCAGAACTCATTAAGAGAATAAGCTCAACCCTGTTAGATCATGCGCCACGGCGCAGAGCGTGTTGTTCCATCCTTACAATAGCAAAAGTGAATTCTGACACGCTCTTAATGCTTTTGCGCCCTGCGCTTCAGACTTTGCACCTAGATCGTTAAAATAGAGCCCAGTGAGGGCTTAAAAACAGAACAGAAAAGAATAAATTACTTTAAAATGATAATGTTAGGACCTGAAAATGTATGCAGATCTTGACCCCCTTAACACATTCAAATGCACATAACAAATTTTCAATAAACCATTCAAGTCTTTCAGTCTTTGACTTTTACTAAAATGGTCTCATTTACATTTCCCTAGTGCTAAAAATTGCTTAGATGAAACCAGAGAGATTAAATTTGCCCACTTTATATTGCCTTCATTTTAGTGCTGCTTATGTTTTAACTTTGTTCGTTGCCAGCCTGAGTCAGCAGCTATCATAAATAAATAAAACTACTTAATTACAGTTCATAACAATAATTATTAACTGTAATAATTTTTTTTTTTCAGTTTTAAAATTAAATAAGCTGTATATTTTTCTCCCATCAGACTCGAAGCCTCCTCAAGCTGCTCTTCCTCCTCTAGTTCTGTCCTCAGCCTCTGGCAGCTCAGAGGGCGTGGCCTCATCAGGAGTGGGCGTTGCTTCAACAGGAGGGGGCGTGTCCAGTGGATATGCTGTGACGTACAGGCGAACAGGCGGAGCTCAGGTCAGTGTGGTCAGTGCAGGAATTCCCGGCTCTTATACTCGTCTGGACTCAGCGGGTGGAGCCGAGGGGCCGGCGCAGGGCGTGGCCAAATCTCCTGCCATCAGCAGCAAAGCTGAACGCCGTGCCGGGATGCACATTACAGGACCGTTTTCAGTGACCGTCCCGCTTCACATCACCTCCGGACTGGCTCTCGGGGTCCTGCACGGCGGATGGAACGATAAAGAGCAAACGCAAGATGAAGACGTAAAGAGCACAGACGGAGATTCACAGAGCAAGAACTGCGATCAGAATGAAGCCAACAGTTCTGTGGAAACTCAGGTGGATTGTGGGAAGGATGTGATAGAAACAGAGGAAAAATCAACAGACGGCAATAAAGCAGAGACAGAAGATCTGAACTCAACTCAAGAGTCTGTGAAGGACAATGTCGAAGATGTAAAAGGCAAAGAGGAAACTACAGAGGAGGAGTACATGGGTAACGTTTGCTTATTTACTTGTGTTTTATTATGTGTAGAATCTTGAAAGGAGAGCTGTTATGCAAAAAGTTCATCAGAGGGGGAAAGCCCCGCCCACTAGTGCCCATCTCATTAGCATAAACAGCAGCCCTGAGTGAGAAGCAGCCGTCTGTCCATTAGCCATTAGAGTGTTTGAGCTGCTGAAGATGATGTCAGCATAGACTCAGAGGATTATAGATGTGGCATTTTAGATCAACAGCGACAGGAGCGACACAGACTGACAGAAGCATCAAGCACACACTCACACCTGACCAGCACTGACAACACACACACTGTTGTTTTACATCAGTCACTATAATTATGCACATGCATTTGTAGCTCCGCCCTCTTCTAAAAGGAGCACAATCTCATTTGCATTTAAAGTGGCAGTCACCAAAACGCCACAATTAGGATCAAAGCCTGAAAGGGTCAGTTTCAGAGAGATGGAGAACATTAGAGTGTGTGATATTTTCAGCTCAAACTCAAACACAGAGACAGCAGAGGCGTATTTTACGTCTTGTAAAAAGGGGCAGAATAGGTCCACTTTAAAGACATGGTATAAAAATAAAGTTAACTAATAATTTATTGTTATTATTATTAGATTATCATTAACTGATTTGCATATTCAAATGATCACACACTGTAAAATAGTTATTGCTTGCCTACACTTTTGGTAACACTTTAGTTTAGGTTACAGTTATGCAAATGAAATATGTGATCAGAATATAGATATTTATAAAAGTGTAAAGTTTGCAGTGTCTAATCAGAATATGGGATTAAAAATATAAAGTTCAAAATAGAGTTTAAATTAAATGCCAATGTCAGTTTTATTGAAATAGCACTATTAAACACAACCAGAGGCTGACCAATGTGCTGCACAATACACATCACAACAAAGAAAATATAAATAAGTAGAACTAAAACGGAAACAGTGTGTTTGCCTCAAAGCAAGAAGGTCGCTGGTTTGTGTCCAGCTGGGTCAGTTGATGTGTCTGTGAGTTTGCATGTTCTCCCCATGTTGGTGTGGGTTTCCTCCGGGTGCTCCGCTTTCCCCCACAATTCACAAAACATGTGGTACAGGTGAACTGGGTATGCTAAATTGTCTGTGTATGAGTGTGTATGGATGTTTCCCAGAGATGAGTTGTGGCTGAAAGGGCATCCACTGCGTAAAACGTGCTGTATAAGTTGGCAGTTCATTCCGCTGTGGCCAGGCACGTGCACACATAGGGCTCAACCTGTGCAGTGCACATGCCCTTTTTAGTCTTGAATAGAAAGTGCCCTTCCAAAATGATCAAAAGTGCCCCCGCGACGCGGCACACCTTCAGGCCCGCCCTTCAGTAGGCGCGTGACAACACCGCTCTTGAGTACGCGCGCGACAACACAGCTGATCAGTACGCGCGCGATAACACCGCTCTTCAGTACGCGCTCTGCGCGCTTCCACCCCCCATCCTGGCTGTGGCGACCCCGGATTAATAAAGGGACTAAGCCGTAAAGAAAATGAATGAATGAAACAGATCTAATACAGAGGCAGAGCACTCCACAACCAAGACCTAACTTTAAGAATTTAGGCGCATCAGCCAATATTTAGTCGCACCCACCAATTATGAGCACCGTTACTACAAGTTTTATACAAACATATTTATTGCATTTAAAATCAACAGTAATCAAACTAACAAGCAAAAAAAAAAAAAAATATATATATATATATATGCAAGCGTGAGGAAAATATGTCTCAACAAAATCCTGTTATCACAAGAAAATAGATTTTTATAACAGAACTGAGTGACTAAAGCATACACGAGCGCTCACCGGCCCTGCACACACTGCTGGACATGAATGAATCTGTTAACGGTATAACTGTGCTGTTCTCACCGGTGCAGTCTGATATTGCACTGATGCTTTTGACATATACTGCACCTTATTATATGCATATGTCATGTTAATAGCAATACCGGTCTTTTCATGAGTAATGATGTTAGTTTACTCAGTGTAAGTCTGTTTGTGATGGTGTACGTGGTGTTAAATTTGACATATAGCTGCCTTTTGCACGGCGGACAGCATCTGACGATTATATGAAGGATTAAACTGAAGCTCTCGTGCTAGATGTGGCAAACAGTTACCTGAAAACTCCATCCCACAGACTTTTCATAGCGGACTTGAAGCCAGTGGAAGTCTTTTATCCACTCTTGGAAAAGTGTAGATGGTGGATTAACATTCAGCACATGATCACTAGTAAGATGTGTCATTATTTGTAACTTTAGATGTTTTCTAAAACTAAATCTGTCAGTGTTATCTTCATTCTCATCTTCAGCGCTTCACATTTTCGCGGTAGGAGCTCTCTCTGTCATCCCAAGCCAGAAGGCATTGACTGAGTGATTGACAGCTGATATTTCAGTGCTAGAGCAGTGGTGGACCAATAAGAAGAGCGTGAAGGCGGGGCAAGCATTACGGACTTGGCTTTGTTTACTGCAGCAAGTCGACATGACAACTGTTTTAAACCATTCCTGAGCGCTGCGTTTCAAGTGCAGACAAAGAGCTTAGAGATGCGTTCTGCGTGAATGTCTCCCGAATCCGTGCATCTGGTGAATATTTTGCAGTAAAAACTGGTCGCACACAACAATTTTTTGCACTCGCACACATGCTCCCAAATATATTTTGAGGTCGCATAGATAAAATTTTGGGCACATATGCCACCAAAATGGTTGCAATTTCGAGCCCTGTGGTGTAATGTGGTCATGTTTCTTGGTTCCTGTTAAAAGCCTTGCAGTAGCATTTTGGACAAATTGTAAACAGGTTTTCTGACTAATCCCAAAGTATAATGAGTTGCAATAGTCCAATCTAGTGGTAATAAAAGCATGATTTATTCATTCATTCATTTTCTTTTCAGCTTAGTCCCTTTATTAATCTGGGGTCGCCACAGCGGAATGAACCGCCAACTTATCCAGCATATGTTTTACGCAGCAGATGCCCTTCCAGCCGCAACCCATCTCTGGGAAACATCCATACATATTCATTCACACACATATGTATTGGAGGCCAGCTAGTAAATGCTGTGCAGGTAAACCTCACTCCTCTGACCTCTAATGCTGTGTTCACACCAGACGCGGTACGCGCCGATAAATTGCGCTATTCGCGCGTAATTTGTTGCATGAACATTTGAGTTTACTCGCTTCATTCGCGCGTCAACCCCCGCTTCATTCGCCCGTCAAATCCGATTCATTCGTGTGTCAAATTCACTTCAAAACAGATGCGGATTTGCGTGATGGGCAGGGCATCTGTCTGCCCGGTGACTCTAGCTTCATGGCTAATTGGCTAACATGGATTTTATGAAGAAAATAACAGTGTTTATGTGCTTTATGAAGACTGAAAAACAGCGTCGATACATTTAGGGCCGTGTCTGAGTCCACTACATGCTTTCAGAGGTGCAACCAACTCCTCCAGAAACTGAACCTGGATGATGGAGAATTTCAGCGGTGCTTCTGACTGAGCCAAGCCCAGTTTGATGACTTGTTGTCGGTGTCGCCTGGAGGATTTGCCCCGGGACACCATCAACAGGTTCTACGTCACAATCATACCCCACAAGAGCAAGCTTCTGATTGGTTAACGCGGCGCGAATGTCCGCTGAAGTTCAGATTTTCGAACTCGAGGGATTCGTGCGGAACGCTCGTTAAGCGCGTCAAACGCGCAAACGCTCAATTCGCCCCGCGCATATCACGCTATTAGCACCGCGCAATTCGCGTCATTCACTCCGCGCCATTTGCGGGTATTGCGCCGCAGGATGTCTATTCGCGTGTTTGCATTGACTTAACATGTAAATCACTCGCGCTTGACGCACGTTCCGCGTCTAGTGTGAATGCAGCATAAAGGTGCTCTAGCATCAGACGCTGGAGGTCATGGTCTTTAGCCTCCTTGGTAGAGCAACCGACTCCCATTCGGAAGGTTGCCGGTTTGAAACCAGCTCGGAGCAGGTTGGGTGGCGTAGGCCCGGTGGGGTTACACATACACTACGGACAATTTAGCCTACCCAGATTCATCTCTACCACATGTCATTTGGACTGTGGGGAAACCGGAGCACCCAGAGGAAACCCACGCGAATGCAGGGAAAACATGCAAACTCCACACAGAAACACCAACTGATCCAGCCGAGGCTCAAATCAGCGACTTTCTTGCTGTGAGGCAACAGCACTACCTACTGCGCCAACAAAGCATGGATTATTATTTCAAAATTATTTCTAGATAGAATAAATTTTTAAAAATTTTAAAACTCAAAGCTGAATGAAGCAAGATTTGATTACTGCATTTATCTGTTTATAATGTGTAGCAAACATAACCAGAACACACATACAGTATATATATATATATATATATATATATATATATATATACATACATACATACATACAATTGGGGTATGTAAATGCTGCTTCAAAATTAAATCCTTTATACTAAATCCTTAAATCCTAAATCATTCCCACATTGTTTCCTCATGTTTTGAGCTGACTGGGATTAAATAAGACTAACTGTGATCATTTCTCCTCAGACATGAGAGCCCACGTCCAGCAGACGCCGGTCAGTCCGATTTATTGTGAGTTTCAAGAACAGGAGCTGGATTTGCAGGAGGCTTTCGGGTTTCTGGACTCGATGGACAACTCTGTCTCAAACCAGGTGTGTTTATATTGATCTTATTATTTATATTGATCTTAACATTTATATTGATCTTAATATTATCATTATGGGGGATTGTGTGTAGAATGTTGAGAAAATCAATCAATTTAATCCATTTTGGAATGAGGCTGTAACATTAAAACATGTAGAACAAGTCAAGCACTATCAATACTTTTCTGATGCACTGTATATGGAGCTGAGAAGAAGGGGGCGGGGCATCTCAGACAATAGAGAGCATTTGATTGGTCAGAAGATTTGATGAGCAACTGAAGCTGCGTCCCAAATCGCATACTTATGCACTATTCTATGCCATTTTGTAGTATAAATAGTGTGAGTAGTGTGTTCACACTGAAAACTCTAATAATAATAAGTGCACTTTAATTACCCGGATGATGCACTCATTCAGCTGGTATAATGAAGTGTGTAATGATGGACACTTTACGCACTCAACGGCTGCAGGTTTGCTTGCGTAGCGGAAGGGGCGGAGCTATCGGGCTCACATGTTGCATAACTTTATTTATTTTGGATGGTGAAAGCAAAATTCTCCTACGAGAGGGATTATAGCGCCTCCCGATGGTGAATGCAGTTATACTCACGGCAGGTATTATTTGATAATTCGGTAGTTTTTTTCACTGATTTGGCGACCGTCAAACGTCATCAGGGAAACGGTTTGAATTTCCGCTTAGTAAAAAAACATTAGTGTGCCATTTGGGACGCCACTACATACATATACAATACTGTTGAGTGTGTAAGTGCATAAGTACATAGTGCATTGGTATAGTGTGCCATTTGGGGCGCAGCTTGAATGTATGAGGAGACGGCAAGTAAATCATCAATCAATTTAGGCGGTAGAGCCAAACTGCAAGCTTTAGATGTTCATGACAGGTTTATATCTGCTACATGTGGATGTTCTCCCCGTTTTGAAGCACAATAGCTTACAGATATCCTAACATACTTAAACTAACATCAAAGGAGAAGCACTGTAGTAACGAGACCAGCAGCGTGTAAGTACATTTAGACTTGTTTTCAGCTGTTTGTGTGTGGTTCTAGGACATTTAGACTTGTTTTCAGCTGTCTGTGTGTGGTTCTAGGACATTTAGACTTGTTTTCAGCTGTTTGCGTATGGTTCTAGGACATTTAGACTTGTTTTCAGCTGTCTGTGTGTGGTTCTAGGACATTTAGACTGGTTTTCAGCTGTCTGTGTGTGGTTCTAGGACATTTAGACTTGTTTTCAGCTGTTTGCGTATGGTTCTAGGACATTTAGACTTGTTTTCAGCTGTCTGTGTGTGGTTCTAGGACATTTAGACTGGTTTTCAGCTGTTTGTGTGTGGTTCTAGGACATTTAGACTGGTTTTCAGCTGTTTGTGTGAGGTTCTAGGACATTTAGACTTGTTTTCAGCTGTTTGTGTGAGGTTCTAGGACATTTAGACTTGTTTTCAGCTGTCTGTGTGTGGTTCTAGGACATTTAGACTTGTTTTCAGCTGTTTGTGTGAGGTTCTAGGACATTTAGACTTGTTTTCAGCTGTCTGTGTGTGGTTCTAGGACATTTAGACTTGTTTTCAGCTGTTTGTGTGAGGTTCTAGGACATTTAGACTTGTTTTCAGCTGTCTGTGTGTGGTTCTAGGACATTTAGACTGGTTTTCAGCTGTTTGTGTGTGGTTCTAGGACATTTAGACTTGTTTTCAGCTGTTTGTGTGTGGTTCTAGGACATTTAGACTTGTTTTCAGCTGTTTGTGTGTGGTTCTAGGACATTTAGACTTGTTTTCAGCTGTTTGCGTATAGTTCTAGGACATTTAGACTTGTTTTCAGCTGTTTGCGTGTGATTCTAGGATATTTAGACTTGTTTTCAGCTGTTTGCGTGTGATTCTAGGACATTTAGACTTGTTTTCAGCTGTCTGTGTGTGGTTCTAGGATATTTAGACTTGTTTTCAGCTGTTTGTGTGTGGTTCTAGGATATTTAGACTTGTTTTCAGCTGTTTGTGTGTGGTTCTAGGATATTTAGACTTGTTTTCAGCTGTTTGCGTGTGGTTCTAGGACATTTAGACTTGTTTTCAGCTGTCTGTGTGTGGTTCTAGGACATTTAGACTTGTTTTCAGCTGTCTGTGTGTGGTTCTAGGACATTTAGACTTGTTTTCAGCTGTCTGTGTGTGGTTCTAGGACATTTAGACTTGTTTTCAGCTGTTTGCGTATGGTTCTAGGACATTTAGACTTGTTTTCAGCTGTTTGCGTATGGTTCTAGGACATTTAGACTTGTTTTCAGCTGTTTGTGTGAGGTTCTAGGACATTTAGACTTGTTTTCAGCTGTCTGTGTGTGGTTCTAGGACATTTAGACTGGTTTTCAGCTGTTTGTGTGTGGTTCTAGGACATTTAGACTTGTTTTCAGCTGTTTGTGTGTGGTTCTAGGACATTTAGACTTGTTTTCAGCTGTTTGTGTGTGGTTCTAGGACATTTAGACTTGTTTTCAGCTGTTTGCGTATAGTTCTAGGACATTTAGACTTGTTTTCAGCTGTTTGCGTGTGATTCTAGGATATTTAGACTTGTTTTCAGCTGTTTGCGTGTGATTCTAGGACATTTAGACTTGTTTTCAGCTGTCTGTGTGTGGTTCTAGGATATTTAGACTTGTTTTCAGCTGTTTGTGTGTGGTTCTAGGATATTTAGACTTGTTTTCAGCTGTTTGTGTGTGGTTCTAGGATATTTAGACTTGTTTTCAGCTGTTTGCGTGTGGTTCTAGGACATTTAGACTTGTTTTCAGCTGTCTGTGTGTGGTTCTAGGACATTTAGACTTGTTTTCAGCTGTCTGTGTGTGGTTCTAGGACATTTAGACTTGTTTTCAGCTGTCTGTGTGTGGTTCTAGGACATTTAGACTTGTTTTCAGCTGTTTGCGTATGGTTCTAGGACATTTAGACTTGTTTTCAGCTGTTTGCGTATGGTTCTAGGACATTTAGACTTGTTTTCAGCTGTTTGTGTGAGGTTCTAGGACATTTAGACTTGTTTTCAGCTGTCTGTGTGTGGTTCTAGGACATTTAGACTGGTTTTCAGCTGTTTGTGTGTGGTTCTAGGACATTTAGACTTGTTTTCAGCTGTTTGTGTGTGGTTCTAGGACATTTAGACTTGTTTTCAGCTGTTTGTGTGTGGTTCTAGGACATTTAGACTTGTTTTCAGCTGTTTGCGTATAGTTCTAGGACATTTAGACTTGTTTTCAGCTGTTTGCGTGTGATTCTAGGATATTTAGACTTGTTTTCAGCTGTTTGCGTGTGATTCTAGGACATTTAGACTTGTTTTCAGCTGTCTGTGTGTGGTTCTAGGATATTTAGACTTGTTTTCAGCTGTTTGTGTGTGGTTCTAGGATATTTAGACTTGTTTTCAGCTGTTTGTGTGTGGTTCTAGGATATTTAGACTTGTTTTCAGCTGTTTGCGTGTGGTTCTAGGACATTTAGACTTGTTTTCAGCTGTCTGTGTGTGGTTCTAGGACATTTAGACTTGTTTTCAGCTGTCTGTGTGTGGTTCTAGGACATTTAGACTTGTTTTCAGCTGTCTGTGTGTGGTTCTAGGACATTTAGACTTGTTTTCAGCTGTTTGCGTATGGTTCTAGGACATTTAGACTTGTTTTCAGCTGTTTGCGTATGGTTCTAGGACATTTAGACTTGTTTTCAGCTGTTTGTGTGAGGTTCTAGGACATTTAGACTTGTTTTCAGCTGTCTGTGTGTGGTTCTAGGACATTTAGACTGGTTTTCAGCTGTTTGTGTGTGGTTCTAGGACATTTAGACTTGTTTTCAGCTGTTTGTGTGTGGTTCTAGGACATTTAGACTTGTTTTCAGCTGTTTGTGTGTGGTTCTAGGACATTTAGACTTGTTTTCAGCTGTTTGCGTATAGTTCTAGGACATTTAGACTTGTTTTCAGCTGTTTGCGTGTGATTCTAGGATATTTAGACTTGTTTTCAGCTGTTTGCGTGTGATTCTAGGACATTTAGACTTGTTTTCAGCTGTCTGTGTGTGGTTCTAGGATATTTAGACTTGTTTTCAGCTGTTTGTGTGTGGTTCTAGGATATTTAGACTTGTTTTCAGCTGTTTGTGTGTGGTTCTAGGATATTTAGACTTGTTTTCAGCTGTTTGCGTGTGGTTCTAGGACATTTAGACTTGTTTTCAGCTGTCTGTGTGTGGTTCTAGGACATTTAGACTTGTTTTCAGCTGTCTGTGTGTGGTTCTAGGACATTTAGACTTGTTTTCAGCTGTCTGTGTGTGGTTCTAGGACATTTAGACTTGTTTTCAGCTGTTTGCGTATGGTTCTAGGACATTTAGACTTGTTTTCAGCTGTTTGCGTATGGTTCTAGGACATTTAGACTTGTTTTCAGCTGTTTGTGTGAGGTTCTAGGACATTTAGACTTGTTTTCAGCTGTCTGTGTGTGGTTCTAGGACATTTAGACTGGTTTTCAGCTGTTTGTGTGTGGTTCTAGGACATTTAGACTTGTTTTCAGCTGTTTGTGTGTGGTTCTAGGACATTTAGACTTGTTTTCAGCTGTTTGTGTGTGGTTCTAGGACATTTAGACTTGTTTTCAGCTGTTTGCGTATAGTTCTAGGACATTTAGACTTGTTTTCAGCTGTTTGCGTGTGATTCTAGGATATTTAGACTTGTTTTCAGCTGTTTGCGTGTGATTCTAGGACATTTAGACTTGTTTTCAGCTGTCTGTGTGTGGTTCTAGGATATTTAGACTTGTTTTCAGCTGTTTGTGTGTGGTTCTAGGATATTTAGACTTGTTTTCAGCTGTTTGTGTGTGGTTCTAGGATATTTAGACTTGTTTTCAGCTGTTTGCGTGTGGTTCTAGGACATTTAGACTTGTTTTCAGCTGTCTGTGTGTGGTTCTAGGACATTTAGACTTGTTTTCAGCTGTCTGTGTGTGGTTCTAGGACATTTAGACTTGTTTTCAGCTGTCTGTGTGTGGTTCTAGGACATTTAGACTTGTTTTCAGCTGTTTGCGTATGGTTCTAGGACATTTAGACTTGTTTTCAGCTGTTTGCGTATGGTTCTAGGACATTTAGACTTGTTTTCAGCTGTTTGTGTGAGGTTCTAGGACATTTAGACTTGTTTTCAGCTGTCTGTGTGTGGTTCTAGGACATTTAGACTGGTTTTCAGCTGTTTGTGTGTGGTTCTAGGACATTTAGACTTGTTTTCAGCTGTTTGTGTGTGGTTCTAGGACATTTAGACTTGTTTTCAGCTGTTTGTGTGTGGTTCTAGGACATTTAGACTTGTTTTCAGCTGTTTGCGTATAGTTCTAGGACATTTAGACTTGTTTTCAGCTGTTTGCGTGTGATTCTAGGATATTTAGACTTGTTTTCAGCTGTTTGCGTGTGATTCTAGGACATTTAGACTTGTTTTCAGCTGTCTGTGTGTGGTTCTAGGATATTTAGACTTGTTTTCAGCTGTTTGTGTGTGGTTCTAGGATATTTAGACTTGTTTTCAGCTGTTTGTGTGTGGTTCTAGGATATTTAGACTTGTTTTCAGCTGTTTGCGTGTGGTTCTAGGACATTTAGACTTGTTTTCAGCTGTCTGTGTGTGGTTCTAGGACATTTAGACTTGTTTTCAGCTGTCTGTGTGTGGTTCTAGGACATTTAGACTTGTTTTCAGCTGTCTGTGTGTGGTTCTAGGACATTTAGACTTGTTTTCAGCTGTTTGCGTATGGTTCTAGGACATTTAGACTTGTTTTCAGCTGTTTGCGTATGGTTCTAGGACATTTAGACTTGTTTTCAGCTGTTTGTGTGAGGTTCTAGGACATTTAGACTTGTTTTCAGCTGTCTGTGTGTGGTTCTAGGACATTTAGACTGGTTTTCAGCTGTTTGTGTGTGGTTCTAGGACATTTAGACTTGTTTTCAGCTGTTTGTGTGTGGTTCTAGGACATTTAGACTTGTTTTCAGCTGTTTGTGTGTGGTTCTAGGACATTTAGACTTGTTTTCAGCTGTTTGCGTATAGTTCTAGGACATTTAGACTTGTTTTCAGCTGTTTGCGTGTGATTCTAGGATATTTAGACTTGTTTTCAGCTGTTTGCGTGTGATTCTAGGACATTTAGACTTGTTTTCAGCTGTCTGTGTGTGGTTCTAGGATATTTAGACTTGTTTTCAGCTGTTTGTGTGTGGTTCTAGGATATTTAGACTTGTTTTCAGCTGTTTGTGTGTGGTTCTAGGATATTTAGACTTGTTTTCAGCTGTTTGCGTGTGGTTCTAGGACATTTAGACTTGTTTTCAGCTGTCTGTGTGTGGTTCTAGGACATTTAGACTTGTTTTCAGCTGTCTGTGTGTGGTTCTAGGACATTTAGACTTGTTTTCAGCTGTCTGTGTGTGGTTCTAGGACATTTAGACTTGTTTTCAGCTGTTTGCGTATGGTTCTAGGACATTTAGACTTGTTTTCAGCTGTTTGCGTATGGTTCTAGGACATTTAGACTTGTTTTCAGCTGTTTGTGTGAGGTTCTAGGACATTTAGACTTGTTTTCAGCTGTCTGTGTGTGGTTCTAGGACATTTAGACTGGTTTTCAGCTGTTTGTGTGTGGTTCTAGGACATTTAGACTTGTTTTCAGCTGTTTGTGTGTGGTTCTAGGACATTTAGACTTGTTTTCAGCTGTTTGTGTGTGGTTCTAGGACATTTAGACTTGTTTTCAGCTGTTTGCGTATAGTTCTAGGACATTTAGACTTGTTTTCAGCTGTTTGCGTGTGATTCTAGGATATTTAGACTTGTTTTCAGCTGTTTGCGTGTGATTCTAGGACATTTAGACTTGTTTTCAGCTGTCTGTGTGTGGTTCTAGGATATTTAGACTTGTTTTCAGCTGTTTGTGTGTGGTTCTAGGATATTTAGACTTGTTTTCAGCTGTTTGTGTGTGGTTCTAGGATATTTAGACTTGTTTTCAGCTGTTTGCGTGTGGTTCTAGGACATTTAGACTTGTTTTCAGCTGTCTGTGTGTGGTTCTAGGACATTTAGACTTGTTTTCAGCTGTCTGTGTGTGGTTCTAGGACATTTAGACTTGTTTTCAGCTGTCTGTGTGTGGTTCTAGGACATTTAGACTTGTTTTCAGCTGTTTGCGTATGGTTCTAGGACATTTAGACTTGTTTTCAGCTGTCTGTGTGTGGTTCTAGGACATTTAGACTTGTTTTCAGCTGTCTGTGTGTGGTTCTAGGACATTTAGACTTGTTTTCAGCTGTTTGTGTGAGGTTCTAGGACATTTAGACTTGTTTTCAGCTGTCTGTGTGTGGTTCGAGGACATTTAGACTTGTTTTCAGCTGTTTGCGTATGGTTCTAGGACATTTAGACTTGTTTTCAGCTGTCTGTGTGTGGTTCTAGGACATTTAGACTGGTTTTCAGCTGTTTGTGTGTGGTTCTAGGACATTTAGACTTGTTTTCAGCTGTTTGTGTGAGGTTCTAGGACATTTAGACTTGTTTTCAGCTGTCTGTGTGTGGTTCTAGGACATTTAGACTTGTTTTCAGCTGTTTTTGTGAGGTTCTAGGACATTTAGACTTGTTTTCAGCTGTCTGTGTGTGGTTCTAGGACATTTAGACTTGTTTTCAGCTGTCTGTGTGTGGTTCTAGGACATTTAGACTTGTTTTCAGCTGTTTGTGTGAGGTTCTAGGACATTTAGACTTGTTTTCAGCTGTCTGTGTGTGGTTCGAGGACATTTAGACTTGTTTTCAGCTGTTTGCGTATGGTTCTAGGACATTTAGACTTGTTTTCAGCTGTCTGTGTGTGGTTCTAGGACATTTAGACTTGTTTTCAGCTGTTTGTGTGAGGTTCTAGGACATTTAGACTTGTTTTCAGCTGTCTGTGTGTGGTTCTAGGACATTTAGACTGGTTTTCAGCTGTCTGTGTGTGGTTCTAGGACATTTAGACTTGTTTTCAGCTGTTTGTGTGAGGTTCTAGGACATTTAGACTTGTTTTCAGCTGTCTGTGTGTGGTTCTAGGACATTTAGACTTGTTTTCAGCTGTTTGTGTGAGGTTCTAGGACATTTAGACTTGTTTTCAGCTGTCTGTGTGTGGTTCTAGGACATTTAGACTTGTTTTCAGCTGTTTGTGTGAGGTTCTAGGACATTTAGACTTGTTTTCAGCTGTCTGTGTGTGGTTCTAGGACATTTAGACTTGTTTTCAGCTGTCTGTGTGTGGTTCGAGGACATTTAGACTTGTTTTCAGCTGTTTGCGTATGGTTCTAGGACATTTAGACTTGTTTTCAGCTGTCTGTGTGTGGTTCTAGGACATTTAGACTGGTTTTCAGCTGTTTGTGTGTGGTTCTAGGACATTTAGACTTGTTTTCAGCTGTTTGTGTGAGGTTCTAGGACATTTAGACTTGTTTTCAGCTGTCTGTGTGTGGTTCTAGGACATTTAGACTTGTTTTCAGCTGTTTGTGTGAGGTTCTAGGACATTTAGACTTGTTTTCAGCTGTCTGTGTGTGGTTCTAGGACATTTAGACTGGTTTTCAGCTGTTTGTGTGTGGTTCTAGGACATTTAGACTTGTTTTCAGCTGTTTGTGTGTGGTTCTAGGACATTTAGACTTGTTTTCAGCTGTTTGTGTGTGGTTCTAGGACATTTAGACTTGTTTTCAGCTGTTTGCGTATAGTTCTAGGACATTTAGACTTGTTTTCAGCTGTTTGCGTGTGATTCTAGGATATTTAGACTTGTTTTCAGCTGTTTGCGTGTGATTCTAGGACATTTAGACTTGTTTTCAGCTGTCTGTGTGTGGTTCTAGGATATTTAGACTTGTTTTCAGCTGTTTGTGTGTGGTTCTAGGATATTTAGACTTGTTTTCAGCTGTTTGTGTGTGGTTCTAGGATATTTAGACTTGTTTTCAGCTGTTTGCGTGTGGTTCTAGGACATTTAGACTTGTTTTCAGCTGTCTGTGTGTGGTTCTAGGACATTTAGACTTGTTTTCAGCTGTCTGTGTGTGGTTCTAGGACATTTAGACTTGTTTTCAGCTGTCTGTGTGTGGTTCTAGGACATTTAGACTTGTTTTCAGCTGTTTGCGTATGGTTCTAGGACATT